TACATATTTTTTTGAACTCCTCCTCTGATGGGCCCAGTGCTAGGTCCCTCAGGACCCTGCCCTCAGGTTGCTCACTGCCTGTGTGTCAAGTGTATCATTGAGCACACAAGGTCATTAATTTAAGGAGTGCTGTGTTGGAGGTAACCAGAGGGTTGTGGGGCTTTTGACTTTCAACTTCAGGTAGAAGCATAGGGAAGGGTTCCCTTCACAAATCCGTTTTTGGAAGAGACAAAATAAGGGAGTTCTTCAAGTGGGAAGTTACAGAATATAACTAGAGATGCCTGCAGAGAAGAATTGCATTTCATTAACCTGAAGAAGCTCTTGTTATGTTATGAAGCATGAAAACATGGCCACCACTTTTAACAAGGCATTATCCATGTTGTGTCACCCTTCTGAGAACAGTTAATTTGGGGAGCAGAGGCAGTAAGCCCCTGTATAGTTCTAGGAGTATCTCTGACTTAGGCTGCGCAACTCTAGGATGGCAGACTGTCCTGTTTATGAAGCTAACTCCTACATGAGCTTATGGTACCTATTGCCTTCCTTCAGTTTACTTTTTGTCCAGGCCCTTTTTGTCCCTTTTGAGTTTGCTCCCTCACCTGAGTCTCTTGTATTGTTTGGTTGTCCCCACAGCTGTCTGGGTTTTCTTTAATCCATAGCCTCCACACTGTATATAAAGTTGGCATATTACAAAAATCACCTGTGATGAAAAACTCACTTCTGCATGTCTTGTCTTCATTGCCACTGGTAGTGTGACTTTATTTGCTTACCCTCTTTGAATTTTAGTCTTGCCATCTGTAGGGATGAGAGGACTACATAGGAAAAGTATGTAAGTAATCATCCGAGTGGTACTTCAGTTGCCTAGCCATGGTCAGTTCTCTACACAGGTTAGCATAGTTAGCTTTTTTTTATTATTACTTTTTTTTTTGGCTAGGTATTGAACTCTGGGTCTTAACATTGAGCTATGGAGTCATCCCTTTTTAAATTTTGAGGCGGGGTTTCACTAAGTTGCAGAGTTCCCTGGCCTGGTCTTGAATTTGTGATCCTCCCGCCTCAGCATTCTAGAGTGCTGTGATTATAAGCATGCACCACCACACCTGGCTCACAGTTGGCTTTCAATCCATTTATGCTGAAGACTGTAATTTCTAAATTTTTACATGAAATTCATATATTTTACTTAAAAATTCAAGAAAAAGAATTTTAAGAGAAAAAATGTTATGATGGTCTACTGTTATTGGCATTCCAAAACCGAATACTAAGCACTGAAGGGTTAATCTCTTTAAACTTTCAAGCCTGCCCCTATGCCCTGTGATGAGCTGCTTGCCCCTTGTATTTTTGGCACTTTGCCTTCCTCTTTGGTGACAGTTTAGCCATAGTTTTTCTTTTTTTGCTGCTTTGATCAACTAAATTCCCATTGCCCAGGCATATCCATTCTGCAGGGAGTTTCAGTGGACTAGCCTGTGCTAGTCACTGGGTTCCAGAGTTGTCTCAATTAACTTGAGGAACACATGGAAGCAGCTAGTTAATATAAGGAATTCTGTAATAAGTCATTACTATATGATCACAAGTCGACTTTTTCATCTCTGTACCACTCTAGCTCTGAACTAGTAAAAAGGCAGAGAGAAATGCAGTTATGTAGACAAAACATTATGAAAACAAAGCTGAAGAAATTTTAAATTTGTTCCTGACTAGATCAAGAAAATAGGTCAGAAGTCAACTAGGTCATGAAGAAGAGCATACCAAGCAAAGGAGCTTTTCATATAAAAACGGGTAAAGGTGTATCAGTTATAAGTAATTATTATATGATCACAAGTCAACTTTTTCGTCTCTGTACCACTGTAGCTCTGAACTAGTAAAAAGGCAGAGAGAAAACAGTAGGCTTTTTCTTTACAGATGTAGCTACTGTTGCCTTAGTGAAAAGCTCTGCTTTATGTGTTGTGATTTTCTTTGTGTAAACAAAATGAAAACTAAACATGGGGGAAGCACAAAGCTTAGAAAGCAGTATGTAATTATGCCATTCTTGAGAAGTACCTCAGACTATTTTCTCTCCACTTTCTGTGTTTCTTTCTTTTGATCACCTGCTACATGCCAACACTTTACAAACATTCTCTTTTAATCCATATATATTCATAAGTTGATTTCTTGTTTTTCAGCTGAGAAAACTGAGTCTCAGAGGAATTCAAAAATACCAGAACACTTAAGATGCACACCCTGTAGGAGAGCTCTTCCCTTAAACCAGCATATTGCCAGCTTCTACTCCTTTCATCCTAAAATAAAGCTGAGGGCTACTAATAAATGACTGGTTGGGTGACTGAGACAAGCAGCTGAAACTTTCTAAATTTCATTTCCCTCACCTAAGAAGTTGAATAATTGAAGTAGGTGAGTCTACACTTCCTATTAGTTTTATGATGTCTTCGTAGGCTTCTCCCATCTATTTGGTTATGTCTGCCAGTTGATACTGTGACCAAGTACAGGTTATATGATACAATGAAGAATGTTCTCTTGTACAGTTTGCAATGGAATAATTACTTAGAGGTGATTATCTTTTAGAAAGTAGTAGAAATCATCTGAGAAGAGGCACAAGGGAACTTTCGGAGTTGCCCTCTTTCTCCCCTAGTTTCACATGTTTTTAGGGGGTTCTGTGTTCATAATGTATTTTGATCATAGCTCCCTGAATGGTCTTTGTTAATGCCGCTCCAGGCTGTAAGCTGAGTTGAAGTAATCTGATTTACACAGGTCAGACAGACCTCTCCTTTTCTTAGCCAATATTTTAGGAGGAGAAGTTCTTTCCCTGAGATATTTCAAGCTGGACTAAATGTCCCACAGAGCTAAAGCTTGCCAAGCAAAGCTCATCCTTGTGTCTGTTTTAGTCTCTAATAGTTATACCATATTACTAGAGGTTAATGTCACCATCAGCCAAAGATTAAACTTCCCCTGTATATCCTTGACCAGATAATGTTTGGTGGAGGAAAAAAAAAGCCCTTTCTTTTTGGCTTTGTGTTTTCAGTCTCCTACACGTGTAAGGTATATTTCTTTTTTTTAATTTCATAGAGAAAGATCAAAACAATAATCCAGAATTTCAAAACAAAATAATAGGAGATTAACAGTGGTTAATATATTGTGTATTGTTATCTTCAAAGTAGTTGCTCAGATGACCCAAAATCTACAATAGATATGGTGAAAGGAAAAGAAATAGCTCAAACAGAATGAACAACTGGGATGGGTGAATGAAGAAAAGAAGGAAGGGAGAAGAAAATATATGTATACATAAGATAGTTATACAGTAAGGTGTATTTCTTTAACAAATTTTAATTTCATGCATTTCATAGAACTTTAAATGGAGACAACTTCTCATTTATGCTAATTTGAGTTCTGGCACCTGTGAGCATCTTCATTCAGCTTATGGAATGTCTCTCTGAAGCTTGTACTGTATTTGGAATAGACACCTAATCTTCTCCTCATTGGTTAATCCATAGCATGCCCAGAATAAATGTCCTATCTGTGTTGTTTGAGAATGTACAGGCTTAGAAATATATGAACTCTTGGGGCTGGGGATTTAGCTCAGCGGCAAAAAGCGCCTGCCTGGCAAGCGCAAGGTCGTGAGTTCGGTTCCCGGTACCGGAGAAAAACCAAAAAAAAAAAGAAATATATGAACTCTTGTGCAGCTAACACTGATTGGTGGGCAAAGAGAGAAGGGGAGGGCCAGACCTGGTGCTGCATCCCTGTAATCTCAGCCCTCAGGAGGCTGAGGCAGGAGGGTCCTTTCAAGTTTGAGGCCAACCTGGACTACATAGTGAGCTCAAGGCCAGCCTCAACTACATAGCAAGATCCTGTCTCAAAAAATAAAACCAAACAGTAAGAAAGCTGAAATATGTTTTGTATTATTTTGCTCTAAAAATGTCTTTTCCTTAACTTCCCTAGCAGTAATTAATCACAAGTTATTTTATGTACCTAAAATGCAAGTCATTTATATACTGAAAATAGCAACATAGCAAGTGGCATTTTACAAGATTTAAATAAAACAAATATTTGAGATAAAAGTGGAGTTGGAAAGCAGGGAGAGAGGGAAGTAGGCTATTTCTTGACGTATGGTTCTTTCTATATTTTCTTTTTTTCTTTGGTTTTGTTTTCTTTCCCTGTACCAGGAATTGAACTCACGACCTTGTGCTTGCCAGACAGGCGCTGTGCCGCTGAGCTAAATCCCCAGCCCCTCTTTCTATATTTTCATTGTTAAGCCTCTGGCACTTAGTAGAGAATATTTTTATTTAAAATCCACAAAACTGACCAGAGGAGAGGAGAAATTTGATTGCTCAAAAGTTACCCTACAAGATTGGATCAGTAAATATACATAAATCCCTGAAACTGGCAGGTGTATATGTGTACCAGATAATGTCTGGACTAACCAAGAAAAACTTGCTTTGCTGCATGACTGTGGTGACAGCATTGGTTCCCAACAGCTCTCACATTTGTAAGATTTTTTTAAAGGGACTAACTGCACGTTGGGCAAACAGCTGCATAGTTAAAAAAGTATTGGCTAGATTTAACATATTGAGGGCATGTGGATCCCTAAAAATGTCACACCTTGTCTATGCCAATACATCAGTGTATCTCTTTGTGATACTAAATCTGATGTCATTGGCAGGTTTTCCTCTGTGTTGGAAGGCTGATATTCAGAAGGGAGAATTTTTTTTTTCATATATTTCTCTCTTTGTGTGATTAGGGTATTTTTATGAGTTGTTTAAGCTATGAAATAGTACTGGCAAGTCCTAAGAAAGCTGGATCTGGATTTCATTTTGTCTCTTCAACTCTGTGATCTTGTGCACATTCCTGACATGTTACAAACAGCTTGTGTCTCTGAATGTGCAGTATCAATTTTCAGTGGTGAAAGCCCCAAAAGGAAACAGACTGATTCTTCCATGCATAAACAGCTGGGCAGTTGTGGATGGAATTAATTGCTGATATATATTGGCTGTGTTTTTCTTTTCTTGTCATTTCCTTTGCAGCTGTGAAAGTGAAGTTTGACTTGAAAACAGACATTTCCAGCAGTGCAAAACCAAAAAGTTTCAAGATGAGATTCTTCTAATAAGTATCCAGCTGGTCCCTTTGAGTTTCTCATTTTGGGGGTGAGATGAGGAAGAACAAAAGATGGCAGCAGGTGGTTCATGATTACGTACGTGGTTGGAAGAATAACCCAGGCACTTGGACTGAGAGAGGAGCATTTTGAAATGGTTAGTTTATCATACAAGAGTGATCTCATAATCTAAGAAAGGCTAGATCAATCAGCACCCTCTTTCCTTGGATCCTAAAGAATGTGTTCTAGGCTCTCTCTCAAAGCAGTGAAATGTCCAGTGCTCTGGACTAATTTATTCTTTTAGTATTAAAAAGTAGCAGTTGATGAAGGTAAAGTAACAGTATGCATCATTCGAAAGAGCATTTACCTGTGCTTCTCGCAAAAGTATTTTCCATTGTTTTAACTTCTGTGTAAACAGTTATATATTTTTACATATTTGGATATTTTATTTAGAAAACAGTGCTTCATGACTACAGGAATTCAGTAAAAAGAATATGCTTATAGAGAAAATAGTATTAGTTAAAAATATTTTTTAAAGATTTTAGATAGTATTCATATGTATATGATATATCTTATTTGGAAAAAAATCATGGAAATTTTAAAAAATTAATAGTCTTAAATTATTTGAAAGTGGATAATTGTAAAAAAATTTTATAGTATGCATATTAGTTTTCATCAAAATAATTTTCCTCTTTTATATGTACATTTTAATGTTGTACCAAAGCAAGTCCACCAATTATGTCCTTTATTTTTGAAGGCAACTTTTGCTAATTGATAGTAAAATGTTTTTGTTGTTTCTCTTGCTAGGAGAAGTAGAATGTTGGTGAGGGAAGTAGCTAATTTGTGTTTATGTTCAAGTCCCTTAAAAATAGGCCAAAGTAATGATCTAGAATGAACAATATTTCTGACTCCTTGAGATATGTAAAAACTACTGTTACTAAACTTAGAAGTTGGCATCGTTGGACTTCCTTTATAATAGTACACTTCCACCTAACATTCTGTCGGTTGAGCTGTGTGATCTAGCTTGCATTTTATCTCTTTCTGCACACATGTGTACACACACACACACATAAATGAGTCTGTGTAGTTCATTCCAAGGCAGGAAAGCTGATCTACAAACATGAACTTTTCCCCTGTTTCTTTGAGGAGGGTTAACCAATTAATTTTTACTCTGGGGCCCTGAAAAATGTTGTAGCAATATTAATGTGCAGTTTGCTCTCACTGAAATCTGCCTGGGTGTGTTGCTTCCTCCAGAGTGGGCTCCACCCTTACTCTAACCACACCAAGTGTGGATATCTTGCTGTTTAAAACAAAGTTCATTTTTCAAGCAGCATTGCATCAGAATTGCCACATGAAAACCAGCTTAAGAAACCTACAGCAGCTTTATTTTTTTTTGTAAGTAATGGATTGTCTACTGTAATACTGATAACTCAGTTTAGAGGACAGCATAGATATGATTGATGATTAATTTTGTTCCAGCTGCTAATAATATACACTATGCTTTGGGAGGAACCTGTGGTTTTATCATTCAACTAATTATTTTTCTTTTATGTTACTTCTCTGCTTTGTTTTTTAAAAAACAGTTTACTGAGTTGTTATTGTTTTTAATTTTTGAGAATGCAATTGACTATTTAAATAAAGCATTAGTACTCTCCCAAATCTTCCTTTTAATATAAAAACATTGGAAGAGTTTTGTACTGAATTTATTGGAGTTCTTTACAGCATAATCTGGCAATACTGCTTTTCGAGACATCGTGGCATGAACTTTGTGTGTCAGAGTGGGTTCATTGAATTAAAAAAAGGCAGTGTCTAAAGAGCCTTTATTTCTGTCATAATGATGCTTTGTCCTGTTGCTGTTGGGTATTTGTCAGAAGAGTTGGGGCCGGCTGCAGCCCAAAGTTCTGTTCCATGCCTCAGCAGTTCGTAACTCTCTCTGTTCTTTCTAGAGTTTGTGACGTGAATGGTAAGTTGCACTATAGGAGAATTATTGTGTTCAGTAAAGTTCATGTTCAGCAGGGTTTTTTTTTTTCCCTTTTCTTTGCAGTGGGATCTATCTGACTCCCCTGCCCCCATGTATTGGGGTTCTGTCAAGTGTTCAGTTATGCACTGACCAAAGTGAGCATGTTGAAAGAGAGGTTGGGCATTGTGATGTCTGTGTTGGCTGTTGTCTGCCTATAGTTGTGTTCATCGTGCACTCTTCTGAGGTAGACACACCCATTTGGTGCAAGCAAGTTTAACAGCCTGCCAGAGTTGGAATCAAAGTCGAATGTTGAAAGTGGGAGATTTCTGTAATGATTGCAGGGGTGATATTGTGTCACTCTTTTTGGTCTTAGACTTCCTGACATCTCTCTTTGGCCTTCCTCTTCATAGCGCGGTTGCAAGTGTGTTTCTCTGTTCTCTGACTTCATAAGGAGGTGAGAAAAAATAAAAGCCTGATATCACAGAAGAAAGCACTAGCATCGAATCAGGAGACTGTTTTACTTGGTTGCACATTAGTTTTTTCACCTGGAAAATTAGGATTTCGGGTTAGCTAAGATCTTTTTCAAAGGATAGACTACCCTATTTTTGTTTTAAAGACACATGCTTATTCCAGAAACCTTAAAGGGAATGTGCTAAAATTAAGAAAAATGTGTGTGGATGTCATTCTCACATGAAATGACATGAAAACTAAAGCTTTAAATAATTTGTGTCTGTCAGGAATTTTAGACATTTACTTTTTAATATCTGAGTATCAGTTCTAGTTATAAATCACCTCAGCAATAACATGAGTTTTTCAAATTGAAATTAGGCCAACCTTGTCCTCAGTGTAGTGTGGACATTTCCTTAAACATCATCTATACTTGGTTATATTTGCTATGTGTAATCTTGTTTGAATGGCTTTCAAACTTTTTTCCGGTATATTTTATTTACATCATGACGTACGTATAAACACACATGTGCCACTTAATCTGTGAAGTAAATTTCCCTTAAACACAAAAAGCAATCTGCTGTTCTCTGTTCTCTTTCATGTAAAAAATAGTAGTTTCAAACCACTGAGCTGGATGATCTCTGCTGCTGTCCCTTTGAACTCTAGAATATAGCTAAGACTTTTATAGCAGGCAGAGTGAAGCTTGCTTACTAACCTGCTGTTAAAATACTGAAATTAGATTATTTTGTAAGCAGATTTTTATTTGAAACTTCTATAGCAAGTCAGTAACTAATATCTCTAATAATAACCTTAGTTTTTCTTGTCATAGTTAAATCATGTAAAGAAAAATGGGGTGAATATTTTTTATCAGGCCCTCAGACAGCTGCTCCCAAGACCATTCCTGTTTACCCCAGTATGCTATAGGTATTTTCTCGTATTTGTGCATAACCTATTCATGAAAATGACTACATATTCCATGACATGAAAAGAGTCAGAATCTAATTCTTTTCTGAAAAATTAATGTGTCATCTAGGTTAGATATACTAGAGTTTCATGTTGCCAAAAGTAAACCTCTTCTTTATCTTCCTCACCAGAGAGCCCTTTCCCAGTCCTCTACGGAAATTCCCTTCTCTACTTTATTGTGCTTTTTTAGAGAGTATTCATTTCCTAACCTAAAAACCCTATGGTAAAAAGGTCAAACAGTACAAAAAGATACATAACAAACTCTTTTCCATCCTAACATCGTCAATTCTTCACTATTTTTCCAGAAGTTTTCTTTAAATTCACTCATTGTGTATGCATGTGGATGCATATGTATGTGTGCATGCACACGTGTACTTGAATACCTTTTTAAAAATCCACAGAAAAGTAAACAGTACATACCGTTATGTATTTAGCGCATTCTTTTAAAGAGAATTATAATTCAGTATAGCTCTTTAATGTATGCTATGCACTGTAAGTTTATCATCACTAAGAGTGGTGGATTTCTGGATTATTTTCAAGTTGATTCCCATACCCCTTCTATCTGGTACATTTTCACTGTCATCTTTTCTCTGCCTCCATTTTGGATGGAACCTAGAGGCTGGAGTGAAGGGATGACAGTGTCATGTGGAAATGGGGAAACCCTCACCCCTCTTCTCTTTGATCAGGACATCAAGGGGAGACCCCACTCTGCCCACCACTCATGGCCTTGGAATATCTCAGCACAAAATTTCTCAGCACAAAAACTGAGAGAATGTTGGATGAAAAGTCAGGTAATTTGAGAGTGAGATTATGAGGTAGTGGACAGGTCATCTCTCCCCCTTGATCCTCAGTTTTAAAAGTCTGTTAATATGAGAGCTTAGGATACATGAGTTTTATTGTTCTTTACAATGTAATTTTTACATAGTATTTTTGTTGGAATATTGACTGAACCTATATAACCCAAGTTATATGAAATTTTTTAAAATCAAGAACATCATTTGTATATATTGTGTGGTCTGTAATGTATTTGACTTGCCATCTGGCCTAAGGTATTTGGAAGTTTAAGAATGTAAAAAAGAAGAAGTTGATTATTATTCTGTATTTTTTAATAAAGGCTGCCCTTTCCTTTAAAAAAATCAATTTCAGGAGTATACCCATGTTTATTGCAGCACAATTCATAACAGCTAAATCTTTATTTTAATGTAATATATAGATATTAGTAAAATATAAAATCACTTTTATATGAAAAATAGTTTCATAAAATAGAGAATAGTAATAGATAATACAGTACTGTGTATCATAATCTTAAAAATCCTAATCTTAAAAGATTATGATCTCGGATTACAAAAAAGACTCCTAGCTAAATCTTGGAAGCACCTGTGTGTCCATTAACAGATGAATGGATAAAGAAAATGTAGTATTTACGAAGAAAAAGAGTACTATTCAGCCATATGGAAGATAAACTTCAGGTCATTTGTAGAAACGTGAGTGCACCTGGAGACCATTATGTTAAGTGAAGTAAATCAGACACACAAACTTAAATATTTCATGGTTTCTCTAATATGAGAAACCCAAATTATAAATAAAGAGCAAAACAAATCATAGGTATACGAAGTAGGGAGATAGATCTTCCTCAAGTGGAAAGAGCATCAAGAGATGGAGGGAGGGGAAGGAGGAAGGTAGGGAAGGGAAGAGAAAGGAACTGAGCTAAGTACGTGCACCAGCTCCACATGAGGAATGAGAACAGTATGTACTCCAGGCACATACTAATGAAAATTAAATTACAAAGTTCATTCCAAAAGTAAAAGCAAGTCCTTTTTTCTTTTTTAATCAGACTTGAGTAAGTACTTGAGGTTTTTGAAGAAGGGTAATGTTTATGTTTAAAATGGATCCTTACAATTGTCAATATGTTCAGCCATTCAGAGCTGCTAGTCTAAGGGCTTTGAAATTTGACCTTAGCCTTTTTTTTATGAAATTGTTTTCACATTCTAGACTGTAATGTATCTCTTTGTTCCACTGACATTGCTTGACATGGCTAAAGTTTTCTGATTGTGTACTGAGGAGACAGCTTCAGAATTAAACTGTACTCTGCTGTCTTGCCAGCAGAGTTGCAAAGTTATAAAGTAACAAAAGCAGGAATTTTTGCTGCATCATATGTAGGAAATTAGGTTATTTTTTTTTCTCAATTTTAACTCTCAGAAATCAGCCAAATGACAGCTGTTATAAAACCAAAATGGAGTAAAAGCTTCATAGTTTGATTTCTGAAGTTATAACTGGATGATAAAGACATTTTCTTGGCTTGGAGGTAGAGGAGACTATATATGTTTGTGTACTGGTTGTCCTGGCTTCTTGGCAAAATTTTGGATATACCTTAAAGAAGTATACTTTTCTAAAGGTAATAGTATGAGTGGTATTCCATTTTAATTTCATATAAGTTGTTTTACATATGGTTCCATTTAGCAAAATGTACTGCAGTTCTTCTTGAAGCCAACCACTGCATTCAATGATGAAAATACCTATGGGACTGAGACCATCTTGCTGATATCCCAAAATGACAACTATTCCTTTTTCTTCTACTGTTTGAGTTTTCTCATATCCATTTTTAAGTAGAATGTTAACAAAGAAAATTTGTTAAATTTGAATCTGTGAAAATGAACGAAAGCAGTGTATTTACAGTGCTTAATACTGTCTTGTGAGGATAGCATATTTACTGTGGAGGCATACTCTTCTGTAGGTATATCTGGTAGTAATAATTCTTAGTAATCAAATTATAAATGAACTAAACATATTGTGGTATGCAGATTAATTGCAGAACCTCAAATTTTAGCCTACTAAACACATATGTGAGATATAAAAGCCTGTTGTAATTATTGTACTTTATATGATGCCTGTTGAACAATTGCTTGTATGAAACTATGAACATGGTCACGCTAGGGCTTATTTTTAAAGCATGTATGTATTATGTATGTATGTGTTTATTAATTTGGTGGTACTAGGGTTGTCTCAACAAGATAATTGGGCCTTC